TTTTTTGGAGATAGGGCCTTGCTCTGATGGCCAGGCTGGAGTGCAGTGATGTGATCACAGTGTATTGTAATTTTAAACTCCTGGGCTCAAGTGATCCTCCCTCCTCAGCCTCCTGGGTAGCTGACACTACAGGCATGTGCCACCATGCCCGGCTAATTTTTAAAGTTTTATGGAGACAGAGCCTTGCTATGTTGTCTAGGTTGCAGCTCCTTGTACATTGTAGATGTGAATATTTATTGGTCTTTCTGCTGGAATCATTCCCTCTCCCATCTGTTTGTCTTTAAATTCTGGGCATGCACACACACTCCACCCGCACATCCTAACTGCAAAATATTGATGTTGTCCAACCTGCCTTGAAAAGGGAGAACTGTTTTTCCCTCTTTGTATCTCTGCTGGTGTCCAGTCCACTGCTGTGTTTTTGGCAAATACTTGACCCACAGAGTGTGGGAGGCAGGAAGGGAAGGCTTCTGCATTTCCTTTGTGGACCCCACATCATGGATCCATTAAGCATATTGGGAAACCAGCAGGTCAGGTGGTTGCACACTCTAGGTGCCTCTGACTCCAAATTGCTCAGGGCCCCCTGCACGCCAGTGATTTGCTTTTCTTTGTGAGTTGTCTCTTCACTCATACTCCTAGGCTGAGTTCCCCAAAACAGTGGCTAGCACAGCACCTGTAACAGTTGCGGGTGCATATCTGATCTTGCGTGACCTGATTTACAGGGTATTTTGAATAGGAGCTACCTATTATGGCTTGGGATATGGCTAAAGTTTACTTGACTTCCTTTCATAAAGTGACTGGTAGAATATGTGACATAAGACTATTATTGCAAAAGCAGAAGTGGTAGGGGGTGATTGAGCTTGGGCAGCATTGGAAGGCAGACAGGCCCACATCAGCACCGTCCTGGCCATTTGTAGGTTATATGACCTTGGGGGAATCCCCTCCACTCTCTGAGCCTTTGTTTCTTCCCTCATTAAGGAGATCATCCATTCCTCATTGGATTATTATAAGGCTTAAGATCAAACATCTTTCAAGGCACTCAGAGCAGTGGCTGGGCTCGGGGTCTTCAGACTGTAACCATAGCAAACACTCAGATCCCAGCCACCTTCCCTTCTCTTCCCTCCAGCGTGGGAATGTGGAGGACCAACCTGCTCATTCCCATTTGCCCTGGAGTTCTTTCTTCTGAACTTCATCTAGCACCTGCTGTGCACCAGGGATTCATGGGTGGGGAGGTCAGGGACAGCCAAGTCTGGCGTCTAGCCTTCAGCTTGCCTCAGTCCCTGTGGCTGACACCTGGCCTTTTGCTCTGGAATCTGGACCCTACAATTTCCTACCAAGGTCTCAGCCCAAAGAGGGCTCAAGGGCACCCCCTATTGGTGAGAAGATTCCATAGCTGCCCACGTCTCCCCATCTCCTGAGTGGGTGATCAGCCCCAGCAATCCAGAGACATATTCTTGGATTCTGCTAGCTTTATTTTTCAGTTGAAAACTCAAAGGAAAGGTTATGTTCCAAAAGAAATTTTAAAAACTTTGCTCTAGCCTGGGGGCCTGAATTCTCAGGTGCCCCTACCAAAACAGAGACCCTCCAAAGCATTCAGTCCCAGTGTGTCTATCCCAAAGAGAACAGCTCTCTGCCTGGGCTTCTGAAGAGCTATCAGTTCCCCTCAAATAACTTCCTGCCTCAAGAGATCCCTGGATCAGGCAGGGAATGCTAGGACCAGGCAGCTGAGAACCTGGCTTCCTGTCCCCCTCCACACAGTCAGCGTTCTGACGTGGTAACTTCCCACATGACTGTTGAATAAGTGAATAAATACCTTGGGCATGAACAGGAGCCGGGTAGAGCTCTCTCTGCAGCGCTGGGACTCACTGGCCGTGCGGTCTCTTGGTTTACAGTGGAGATTTGGAGGAAGTGGGGGAATTACCCAGATCAGTGGGAGAGTTTCACGTCCTCAGAAGTATTTTGAGTGCAATGGCAAATAGCTCTTCTTCCCTGCATTTGAAGCACGTGCCGTTCTGAGTTTCCTGGCATTCCATGCTGGTTATTCTGTCCCAGCCAAGAATCTTGCCTTTATCAAGGAGCTGGAATTAGAGTAGAAGGTGAAGGAGTTTGAAGTCTTTGGCAGCCTAGTGCTGGCTTAGACAAAATCTCAAACTGTAAAGAAGAGAGAAGAGAAGTAAGGCCAGGCTATGGGCCCCAGAGGAGAGGGGCCCCTGCTGTTTCCTGAAAAAAATTATGCTGGGGCCCCTATTACAGCCCCTGGCCCTCCTTATTAAAAGGACAACTCTCCATCCACCCCCACCCACCTCCCTCTCCCCTTTCTGTAAGAGCAGCAGGGATGGGTCGATGAGTCCCTACACCTGCCAGGCCTTTGCAGGCAGCAGTGTTAGGCCTAGCCTGCTGAGCTCCCAAGAAATTGAACAAGCATCTATGGAGCACTCACTCCATGTCAGGCTCTGCCACCAGCACCCTGGAGACAGACGACCAAGACATACTTCCCAGCCCAGGGGAGGGTGGAACCTTAGCACACGATGTATTGAGAGCTCGGGATGTATCCAACCCAAAGTGCAGGCTAAAGGGAACTCTTACTGTGTGGGTGGGATCTTCAGTGCAGCTTGCAATGGAGGCTGCTCTACTGTTTCCCCATCAAGTGTGGTGGGCAAGGGCACAGACTGGACACTCTGAGCTACCAGGGTAAGGAAGCGCTCTTGTATCCCTCATGTGCTAGGAGAACTGTTTAAAAGATGGGATTTATTTAATTTTTTTGAGATGGAGTCTCACCCTGTCACCCAGGCTGGAGTGCAGTGGCTCACTGCAACCTCTGCCTCCGGGCTCAAGCAATTCTGCCTCAGGCTTCTGAGCAGCTGAGATTACAGATGCCTGCCACCACACCCAGCTAATATTTGTATTTTTAATAGAGATGGGTATGGCCAGGCTGGTCTCCAACTCTTGACCTCAAGTGATCGGCCCGCCTCGGCCTCCCAAAGTGCTGGGATTACAGGCGTGAGCCACTGCACCCTGCTATTTATTTTTTTGAGATGGAGTCTCGCTCTGTTGCCCAGGCCGGAGCGCAGTGGTGCAATATCGGCTCACTGCAACCTCTGCCTGCTAGGTTCAAGTGATTCCCCTTTCTCAGCCTCCTGAGTAGCTGGGACTACAGGCATGAGCCACCACACCTGGCCAGGAAGTGCCCTCTATCCCTCATCTGCTAAGAGCACTGTCTAAAAGATGGGCTTTAGGTAGCCTTTTCTGCCATCTCTTTCTACTACATTCTGGTTCTTTTTCAGTGTGTAATTTTCAGTAATTAGTAAATTAGGTAATTGGCCAAATTAATTACTGAACTACAAATTTAGTGATTAGTAATTTTAATAATGTCTAGTTCCCTTCTGAAATCTATAATCTCTGTCTAATAAGCCTACTATCTGAGTCCTGTAGGTCTGTGTCTATTATTGTCTGTCTGTGCTAGTTTTTACACTTAGAATTGTACCTCCCTAAGTGTGTTTTTTTATAACTATGGTGTTCATAATCGTAACATGCCCAGCATGGAGGCGCTCAATAAATATACATTTCCAATATCAAAAATTTTCAATGTGGTAAAACACAAAAAATTTACCAGAACCATTTTAAAGTACATACTTCAGTGTAAGTACATTCATATTTTTGTGCAGCCAAACTCTGGAACTCACTAAATCCTGCCAAACTGAAACTCTATCCCCATTCAATAAGCCATTACTGGCTCTCCCATCTCCTGGCCGCCACCACTCTACTTTCTGTCTCTCTGAATCTGATTACTCTAGGTCCTTCACATAAGTGGAATCATACAGTATTTCTCTTTTTGTGACTGGCTTATTTTACTTTGTATAACATCCTCAAGGTTCATCCATGTGCTAGCATGTGTCAGAATTTCCTTCGTTTTTAAGGCTGAATAATGTTTGACTGTATGGAGAGACCACATTTGTTTATCTGTCGGTGGGCACTTGGGTTGCTGCTATCTTTTTGGCTGCTATGAATAACGAGACCAGCTCACTCATGGAGACCCCTAAGCCACGCGGTGCTGAAGGAATTAAGAAACAGACAGAGATAGAGAGCAAAAGGTGGGTTCAGAGTGGAGCACCAGGGGTCTCACAGCGTTTCCAGCTGAGAGTCCAGAGCAAACTCTGACCTATGTGTTTATCTTTGACTTTCCAGTGACAAGTTTTACAAGCTGATCCTCTGTGTCCTTTCATTGGTTAAAGGTAAACTAACCAGGCAGCTAGTGTGTGTTTACTATAGGTTAAAGACAAACTAGAAAATGCTTTTTACAAGGGAACAAAGGAGAGGGTCACATATCCTGTGTTCTAAGAACTAATTCATCTGGCGTGAGACATATTTATATTGGTTACCGTTTTATAGTGCTTTGCGCAGTTTTCCGCTTTGGGGGCAGTTTTCTGCTTTGGGGGGCTCACTAGGTTTCCCTTGCCACCACTCTCAATAGGATTTCTCAGCAAACAATATGATTTCTCACACGCGCCAGAATTTGCTCTCAAAAACGCTGCCATGAACATCAGTGTATAAATGTGTGAGGCCCTTTGAATTGTAGGGAGTACACATCCAAAAGTAGAAATGCTGGATTATATGGTAATTCTTTGTTTTGAGACAGAGTCTCACTCTGTCACCCAGTCTGGAATGCAGTGTTGCAATCTTGGCTGACTGCAATATCCGCCTCCTGAGTTCAAGCGATTCTTATCCCTCAGCCTCCCGAGTAGCTGGAATTACAGGCCTGCACCACCACACCTGGCTAAATTTTGTGTTTTTAGTAGAGATAGGGTTTCACCATGTTGTCCTGGCTGGTAGTGAACTCCTGGCCTCAAGTGATTCACCTGCCCGGGCCTCACAAAGTTCTGGGATTACAAGTGTGAGCCACCACGCCTGGCCTATTTTTACCTTTTTGATGAATTGCCATACTGTTTTCCATAGCTGCAGCTCCATTTTAAACTCCCAGTAAGAGTACACAAGGGTTCCAACTGCTCAGCATCCTCGCTAACAATTGTTATTTTCTGTACTGATTACAGCCATCCTCATGGGTCTGAGGTGGTCTCTCCATGTAGGTCATCTTCTTTTTCTTTTTTGTAGCTGGAGTCTCACTCTGTCACCCAGGCTAGAGTGCAGTGGTGCAATCTTGGCTCACTGCAACCTCCACCTCCCAAGTTCAAGCAATTCTCCTGCCTCAGCCTCCCAGGCATCTGGGACTTCAGGCATGTGCCACCACACCCAGCTAATTTTTCTATTTTTAGTAGAGATATGGTGTTACTATGTCAGCCAGGCTGGTCTAAAACTCCTTACCTGAAGTGATCCACCACCTCAGCCTTTCAGAGTGCTGGGATTACAGGCGTGAGCCAGCATGCCCAGCCTCTCCATGTGGTTTTGGTTTGTTTCCCTAATAATTAGTGATGGTGAGCATCTTTTTATGTGCTGATTGGCCATTTGCATCTCTTATTTGGAGGACTGTCTATTCATATCCTTTGCACATTTCTGTACTGCGTTAGTTGGGTTTTTGTTGTTGCATTGTGAGAGTGCTTTATCTATTCTAGATGGGAACTCTATCACATGTAATTTGCACCTCTGTCCTGTCATTCTGCAGGCTCCCTTTTCACTCAGTTAATAGTATCCTTTGATGCAATCCAATTTGTCTACTTTTCCTTTTGTTGTTTGGGCCTTTGGTGTCATATCCAAGAGATCATTGCCAAAGGAAGCTCTCCTTCTATGTTTTAAGAGCTGTTGGCTTGGAATGGTGGCTCATGCCTGTAATCCCAGCACGTTGGGAGGCCAAAGTGGGTGAATCAAGAGGTCAGGAGTTCAAGACCAGCCTGGCCAAGATGCCCTGTCTCTACTAAAAATACAAAAATTAGCTAGGTGTGACGGCGGGTGCCTGTAATCCCAGCTACTTGGCAGGCTGAGGCAGAGAGTTGCTTGAAGCCGGGAGCGAGAGGTTGCAGTGAGCCGAGATATCATGCCACTGCACTCCAGCCTGGATGACAGAGTGAGACTCCATCTCAAAAAAAACAAGAATTGTATAGTTTTAGATCTTACACTCGGGTCTTTGATTCATTATTGAGGTTTTTTTTTTTTTTTTTAACGTGATATAAGGTAAGGCTTTATGTTCATTCTTTTGCCTGTGGACATCTAGTTTTCCCAGTGGATATCTAGTTTTCCCACACCATTTGCTGAAAGACTCTCCCTTCCCTGACTGACAAGTCTTGGCATCCTTATTGAATTCATTTGACTGTATGTGTAAGGGTTTCCTTCTGCAATCTGTATTCCATTCCACTGGTCTCTCCGTAGGTATTTACTGCCATACCACGCTTTTGACCACTGTAGCATTTAATAATACATTTTGAAATTTGGAAGTAAAAGCCTTCCAACTTTGTTATTCTTTTTTAAGACTACTTTGGCCATTTGGGATCCCTAGAAATTGCATATAAACTTTATGCAATTTATAAGGGTGGATTTTTCTATAATTGAAGAAAAAATGTCACTGGGATTTTGAGAGCAATTACACTAAACCTGTAGATCACTTTGTGTCCTATTGACAACTTAATGAAACTAAGCCTTATAATCTATAAATACAAGATTTTTTTTGTATTTTACATTTGTTACACAACCAATCTCTGGAACTTTAAATCCTGCCAAAGTCTTTGCCTCCTGGTTAAGTTTATTCCTATTTTATTCTTTTTGATGGTATTGTAAACTGACTTTTTTCTTTTTTTTAAAGATGGTGTCTCACTGGTGTGTAGAAATGCAACTGACTTTTCTGTTGATTTTATAATCCTGAAACTTGGACAAATTATTAGTTCTAACAGTTTATTTTGTGCAGTCTTCAGGATTTTCTACAAAGATGATCATGTCATTTGTTAATAGAGAAAATTTTACTTCTTCCTTTCCAATTTGAATGCCTTTTCTTTTTCCTTTCTTTCTTAATAACTCTGGCTAGGATATCTAGTATTGTGAAACCAGGCATCATTGTTTTATTCATCATCTTGGAAAACTTTGTCTCTCATCATTGAGAATGATATTAGCTGGAGGTTGTTCATATGACCTTTATTACGTAGAGATTGTTTCAATTTCTAGTCAGCATGTTTTTAATCGTGAAAGGGTATTAAACTTCATTAAATGCT